ACATATAGAACAATACACCCCCATTCTCTGATCCCCCCACACACCCCCCCACACACATTCTGCCATTTAGCTCACTTTCCAAATCGCTTACATAGGTCTAGATTTTGGAACTCTCCTACTAATTCCCCTGCAATTCACCTTTTTAGTGAACAGACTTGCTATTTTGAAAATAGTGTGGAGAAATAATTTTTGTAACGCAAAAATTGTATATGCGGTTGGGGCTTGTATATGGGCGGAGCAAAGAAATGAAAGGTCTATAAGTTTTGTCATAGGTGTATTTTCAATGGTAGAGACAGAATATCAACCAAAAATCCAGAAAAAACACACGATACAAATGTTATAAATTGATTTGCAGTTCAGTGAGTAAAAGAAGTATTTGATCCCCAAGCAAAACATGACTTAGTACTTGGTGGAGAAACCCTTGCTGGCAAGCACAGAGGTAAGACGTTTCTTTGTAGTTGGTTACCAGGTTTGCACACACATCTCAGGAGGGATTTTGGTCCACTCTTTACAGATCTTCTCTAAATCCTTAAGGTTTCTTGGCTGTTTGGCAACGCAAAGTTTCCGCTCCCTCCATACATTTTCTATAGTATTAAGGTCTGGAGACTGGCTAGGCCACTCCATGACCTTAATATGCTTCTTCTTGAGCCACTGCTTCGTGGGCTTGGCTGTATGTTTTTGGTCTTTGCCATGCTGAAAGACCCATCCATGACCCATCTTCAGTGTTCTGGCTTAGGGAAGCAGGTTTTCATCCAAGATTTTACAATACATGGCCCCTCAATGCGGCAAAGTCGGCCTGTGCCTTTAGCAGAGAAACAGCCCCAAAGCATAATGTTTCCGTGCTTGACTGTAGGGATGGAGTTCTTAGGGTCCTAGTCGGCATTTTTCTTCCTCCAAACATGCGAGTCAAGTTGCCAAATGCCAAAGAGCTCAATTTTGGTCTCATCTGACCACGGCACTTTCTCCCAATCCTTATCTGAATCATTTAGATGTTCATTTACAAACTTCAGATGTGTCTGTACATGTCTTCTTGAGGAGGGGGACCTTGCGGGTGCTGCAGGCTCTCAATCCATGGTGGCCCATTGTGTTACCAATGGTTTATTTGGTGACTGTGGTCCCAAGTGCCTTGAGATTATTCACAAGCACCTTTCATGTAGTCCCTCACTTTTCTCATGATCATCCTTACCCCATGAGGCAAAATCTTGCATGGAGCTCCAGACCTAGGGCGATTGATGGTTATTTTGTATTCCTTCCATTTGCGAATAATTGCTCAAATAGTTTTCCTTCTCACCAAGCTGCTTGCTGTAGTCTTGTAGCCCATTCCAGCCTTGTGCAGGTCTACAATCTTGTCCCTAACATCCTTTGACAGCTCTTTGTTCTTGCCCATGGTGGTGAGGTTTGAATGAAGAACGATCTGTGGACAGGTGTCTTTTTTTCGTTTCAAAGTTTTTATTAAGTTTTTCAGCAGCATATAGGGTACAAGAGACAGTAATCAGCATTGAGATGCATACATATATTAGAGAAACATAGAGACGGCGGACCTTTTCTGATGACGTAAACTTGGAGGCGTATGGTCACCAGGTTCCTCTGGATAAAGTTATGTCAAGGGGGCTGAGGACTACCCGGATAAGGGAATCGGTACAGTTGTAGTCCCAGAGGTGAGAAAGAGAGGGGGGTTGGAGAAGGAAGGGGGAGGGGGGGTCACTGGGTTCGTCTGGAGCAAGCATTTTTGTCTCGGGAACCTAAAGGGCTGAGAGACTTGCTGAGGCCAAGGAGGGATGAGCATGGTCTATCCATGGTTGCCAGACCTTAGTGAAAGATTTGTTGGTGTCTGCGAGGATGCTAGTCAGCTTCTCGTTTAAGCAGAAAAAATCCATGCGTCGCATAACTTCCCCAAAGGGTACAAATTGCTTTCTCCACACCGAAGCAATAGTTTGTTTAGCCGCCAGCAGGACGTGCATGGCTAGGCGGTGTTGGCTTTTTGTGAGGAGCGGAGATTTAAGGTGCAGTAAGGCCAGCCAATGGTCCTTGCGAAGCTGTACTGAGAACAATCTTTCTAGTATACGGAAGACTCCTTGACCAAAATCTAGTAAGCATGGGACACCACGTATGGAGGACATCACCTACTGATGAGCATCCCCTAAAGCAAGATGATGAGTGTGAGGGGTGGAGATGGGCCAATCTGGACGGTACCAAGTACCATCGTGTGAGGGACTTGAAGGCCGTTTCCGCTGAGGAGATATTGATTGAGCAGGTGGCCATGGAGGACCAAATTTGCTGCCATTTCTCCGGTGGTTGTGATGTTCTGAGGTCTCCCTCCCATTTCCCTACGTAGGGGTGTCTGGGGAGGTCAAAGAGTTGAGCTGGGAGTAGATCAGCGAGACCAATTTTTGGGACTGAGTGGGTCGCGTTTACAGGTATGTTCAAATACTGTTAGGCCTGCCGGAGGGGAAAATTGTGCGAGTGCTGATGTGGCCCAATGTCGAATTTTAAGGCATCTGAAATGTTCAGTGGGCGGTGCTCCCTTCCCGTCCCTAAAATATTCCCATCGATGGGCCGACCCGCCATAGCGGATCATAGAGGTATGTCAGTCCTTTGGAAGACCACCATGTGAATGCCAGGGGGGAGTCTAGTCCCGGGGGAACAGAGGGTTTCCTAGTATCCTAGTATAGTAACGGGAGGTGTGGGGACTGTAAGTTACTGGAGTATCTAGTGGAGTCCCATAGGGAGAAGGTGTGGGTCAAAATGGGGCTCATAGAGGGAGGGCGTTGATTGGGGGGCAACCAGGGCAGGGTGCGCAATGAATATGGGCTACATTGTGTTGCCTCCAGGTCTACCCAAAGCGGATCATAGTTGACTTTCGAGGCGATGTGTGCCGCTAGATAATATTTCTGAAAGTTGGGGAGGCCTAGGCCTCCATCACGTTTGTGGGTATGCAGAGTGAACCTGGATACTCTGGGGCGTCTTGTACTCCAAACAAAGGACACAACCTGGGTCTGAAACCGCTCAAGTGCCTTGCGGGGGATAGGAATGAGCAAAGTGCGGAAAAGATGCAACAATTTTGGAAGGATGGTAATTTTGACCGCGTTGATTTTGCCCATCCAGGAGAGGTTGTGTCGTCTCCAGGAGGTCCTTAAGAGTTTTAAAGAGTGGAGGGTAGTTAGCAGCTTGCAAAGTATCATAGGTGTGGGAAATGTTTACTCCCAGATATTTTAAGTGGGAAGCGTGCCATTTAAAGTGGAAGTTGTGACTAAGGGAAGTAACTTGTTGTGGTGTCAGGGAGCACCATAATACACCCCAATATAGACAGGACACCCCCAAGGCCCCCCCCCCCACCATAATACACCCCAATATAGACAGGACACGCACCAGGACCCCTCCACCATAATACACCCCAATATAGACAGGACACGTACCCGGACCCCCCCACCATAATACACCCCAATATAGACAGGGCACACACCAGGACCCCAGGGAGAGGTTGAGTGTGCAGGATTTATCGGTGTTGACAGTTAGATTAGAGACCTGGGCAAAGGATTGTAAGATTGAGAGCAGATTGGGAAGGGAGACTATGGGTTGGGTTAGGGTAAGCAATATGTCGTCAGCGAACATATGGAGTTTATAGTCGGTTTGTCCTTTGACAACACCGTGGATATTGGGGTTAATTCTGATTTAGGTGGGCTAAAGGTTCAATGGCCAGGACGAAAAGGAGGGGCGAGAGGGGGCATCCCTGGCGTGTACTGCCCAAGATGGGAAAAGCGGATGATAGGTAGCTAAGATAGCAGATTGAAGCTGTTGGGGCGCTGTATAAGGCTTGTTCATGCGGGTGGCCAGTATCTTAGCTAACAGTTTGACATCGATGTTCAGTAATTAAATGGGTCTGTAGTTGTGCGGGTCAAGGGCGTCTTTCTCAGGTTTGGGGATCATAACTATGTGGGCCAGTAGGGAGGACGGGTGGAGGGTGTTATTGGTCTTTAGAGAATTAAACACGGCTGTTAAGTGGGGGGACTTGATGGCCATAAGGACCTCCTCGGGGGAAATGTCTTGGGCCATAAGGGTGCTCATGCTCTCCGTGAGCGAGGGCAAGTCTACCCCAGCAATTAGCGCTTCAGCCTGGTGGGCTTGAAAGGTATAGGGCTTGCCGTATAATTTAGATAGTAGAGCGGTTGAGGACGGTGGATGGGTTTGCCGTAGTGTTACCATTGGGGAGGCGGAGTCTGTCCGGGGGCCTGGCCTTCGGTTTAGATTTTAGCATGTTGGCCATTAAGGGGCCAGGTTTGTTGGCGCACACGTAAAATGTGCGTCTAGTCCAGCGGAGCTGTTTTTCCGCTGAGTCGTTTAAGAGAAGATTCAGTTCCAATCGAACCGAGTCCATCTTTTTCCGCAGGGGAATTGAGGGGGCCATGTTCCAGTCAGACTTAAGCCTCCCCAACGTCAAGGAGAGGTCAGACACCCTTTTGTTCCGTTCCCTCTTTTGTCGGGAGGCCAGACTGATGAGCTCGCCTCGTAGAGTCACTTTGTGGGCTTCCCAGATAGGAATCGGGGAAGTGACGGATAGTGCATTTTCCGCAAAAAAACAGGAAAGGCACAATTGGATATGTTGAGCCGAGTCGGCAAAAGAGAGGAGGGAACCGTTCAGTCTCCAGTTAAATTGAGGCAGGGAATAGGGATATACAGGGGAGTGGTCCGACCAGGAAGCAGAGAGAATACGGGCGTCAAGGAAGGATGGGAGAAAACTTGGTTGTATGAAGATATGGTCTATACGGGAGGAGCTGGCGTGGGGGTGTGAGTAAAACGTATAATCTCTAGTGGTTGGGTGGCGGTCCCTCCAGGCATCTATGAGGTAACAGTCTTGCAAGAGAGTGCGGAAGAGGGGAGACAGAGCAGGTGTGGACCTGACTTATCAAGTTTAGGGTCCAGGACTAGGTTGTAGTCTCCGGCCACTATTAGGATGCCCTTTCTATGTTTATCATTTATCTTTGGGTATTGGGCGCATAGTACGTGAGCAATGTTACCTCCACATCAAAGATCGTGCCCCTTAGCAAGTACCTTCCCGTGGGGTCCGCTATTTCATGGGTGCACACAAACGGGGTGTTTCTGTGGAAGGCAATGAGGACTCCTCTTTTTTCGCTAAATAGGGCTGGAAAGATCTGTGGGTAATTTTTATGAAAGTAAGTCGGGTGTGAAGACGTGGAAAATTTTGTTTCCTGTAAGCACAGAATGTTGGCCTGGTGCAATGAAAAGTAATTGAAAGCAAGTCTGTGCTTACGGGGAGAGTTAAGTCCCTGCACATTGTGTGAAATAATTTTGAGGGGTCGACTATTCATTGTTATGGTGGTGCGGGAAGTCGAGCATATTGACAGCACCTATAAGGCTGTTTGAGTGACAGGGGATCTTCCAGACTGGGCCCAGTGCCGGGGGGGTGGGAGAGGAGGAGGGGGAGGAAGTACAGGTAGAAAGCAAAGAGTAGTAACTGCCCACGTCAGCAACAAAGTTGAGCCATGGGGAGAAATGCACAGTAGCATTTCAATAGGCATGGGGGTGCCCTGTCCACCCGGGTGTGGAGTGCAGGACCTAGTGCGTTCACTGGTTA